CCCCAACTCCCCAATCGGCCCTGCTCTGAGCCCGACTAGGGGCTGCACCTAGGGATTGGGCCTGCCCACTGCCACCCGGGAGCAGGCCTAAGCCAACAGGTCGTTATCTCCTGAGGGGTCCCAGACTGCGAGAGGACACAGGCCGGGCTGAGGGACCCCCCCACCCCCCCGAGTGCACAAATTTTTGTGCACCGGGCCTCTAGTTTTATTATAAAAGATAAAGAGTTTGCCCGGCCAGTGTGACTCAACATGAGCATTGACCTATGAACCAGGATGTCATGATTCAATTCCCGATCAGGGCACATGCTTGGGTTGCAGGCTCAATCCGTAGTGTGGGGTGTGCAGGAGGCAGCCAGTGAGTGATTCTCTCTCATCATTGATGTTTCTGTCTGTCTCTCCCCCTTCTGAAATAAATAAAAATATATTAAAAAAAGGTTCTGTCCATCGTAGTCCTTTCCCCAAAGGACTGTGCTGTTACATTATTTGCACTTTAAGTGGAATCCATTGGGTTTTACACTCTTTAGATCTTTCATAAACAGGGCAGATAACAAACATAAAAGATCCCAGTTTACCTAGGGAGATAAGGCAAAATTGCCCAGGTGTTTGGATTGTATCTATTTGTGATAAATCCTCTCCTATCCTGGCAGTCAGTCCTAGGGAAGGAGTGGGAGAAAGGGAAGAATTAAAAAACATGAATTAGTCCCCTTCATTTAATTTCCACAGTATCTGCTTTGCACCTAGGAAACTTTAGTATTTATTAGACAAATGTCTCTAAGGATTAAAACACAATCATAATATTTCCTCCTTAGGGAAAAAATAAATAACAGGAGGAGATGATCTGTTGTAAAGAATATAATCTTCAATTATTGTATTTTGCCTTTGTACAGAAGCATTTGCATTTTCGGATGCCAAATAGGTGCCATATTAGCAGCCAGTTTCAGTAATGAGGAGGAAATGAGTTATTTTTGCTTTTGATGTTGCCTTTGAATGTTCCAAATTCAAAAGTGAAGATGAATTGTTCAAACCTCCCTATTTGGTAGACTCTGACCATCTATCTCTAAAGCTAGTGACCCAGCCTCATTCCACAAGAAAAACTGCAGACTTTAGCTCTCTTTTGAAAAGTGTAAACTATAAAAACTTAACTAAATTTTTAAATTTTAGTCTGTCTTGGTCAAATCTTCTCCATCCAGGATCACAAGTTATTTAAAGAGGTACTAAGCCAATGAAGTAATTTGTAAGCAAGTTTAGAAAGATAGGTGAACACAGTGGCTGTTTAGTAGAAGTGGCTGTTTAGAGCGTGGACTTGGAATCACAGAGCTAGGGTTTCATACCCCAGTTGTGCTACTAAACCAGCTTTGTGAGCTAAGGCAACAACCGGACTTTCCTGCAAATAATGACAGCAAATCCATCCACCTCACCAGGTTTTTGCATGGCTCAAATAAGATGATGTCTGCAGGAAAACACTTGGAAAACTAATATCACTGTGCAAAGAAGTGGTTAATTTATATGTAAACCATACACATCACAATCACTACCTTTTCTATAGAAAAAAGTTATGATAAAAAATGAGGTACTAAGATGGGCCATCAACCGATCTCTCCTAAAGGAACCTCAGCCTTTTCCACTCTCCCCTAATGAAAACAGAAATACATCACTAACTGTCTCTTTAGATGAAAGGTAAAAGCTGTCCAATAAGCTATAAATAAATAATTGCCAGGAAATGTATACACTGGCCTCACTAAAGTCGAGTTCAGTTTCCACCCTATGAAAGTACACAAGCCCACCCAGTTGATGGAATAAAATGTTCTCAGTTTATGCTTTTAGATGGAGTCATTTTGCATGCATGATAAAATCTTGTTTTTATGCACAGAGCTTAGTCTACTGATTCAATGATTTCAAACTTTTAATAATTCATTCCTCTGAGTAGATAAAAGTCTCATGCTTCCGCTTTCTTTGGAGGTTCCAGTGCCTCTCCCAAGGGTGTGGCTCTTTTGTCCATTGCTAAGAGGAGCTAAAGTCCTCTTTTGTTTAGCCCAGGGAGATTCATTGAATTTGTTGAGGTGTTGACTCCATGTTTTGTTTTGTTTTGTTTTAACTAGAGCAGGAGCTGTGGAATCAGTCTGACTGAGTCAAACCCTCATTCTAAAACTCATTGTTTGACTTTGTATGTACAACTTAAACTCTTGATGCCTCAGTTTCCTCATCTATAAACTGGGAGTGATGACAGTATCTATTGATGGTGTTGCAGAGAAAGTTAAATGAAATTATGAATATAAAGTGCTTAATGAAAGACCTGGCTCATGGTTAGCCCCCAATAAGTAGTAAATTTTATTTTTATTTATATTATAGAAATGAGATAATTTTTTAGCTTTTTAGATGAAAAATTATAGTATAATATTCTCTGTTCCTTATTAAACTTCAGACAGGTCTTATGAGGCTCACTATTGAAAATTTATCCTCATGGGAATGAGCCTCATGGCCCTTTGGAAGTATTTTAATGTCTGATTCTTATTTTAAAAGGCATAAAACCAACCATAAGAGTTTAAGAGCTTGAGAGTATAACCATTCTCATTTTTTCTCTGTACCCTCACATCTTTTTAAAAAATATATATATTTTTATTGATTTTAAAGAGGAAGGGAGAGGGAGAGAGAGAGAGAGAGAGAGATAGAAACATCAACGATGAGAATCATCAATCTGCTGCCTCCTACACAACCCCAACTGGGGATCGAGCCTGCAACCCGGGCATGTGCCCTTGACTAGAATTGAACCTGGGACCCTTTAGTCCACAGTCCGATGCTCTGTCCACTGAGCCAAACCAGCAAGGGCTGTACCCACAAATCTTATAATACTTTATGGGTACTGACCCAATACTTACAGACCATAATAAATTTTATACCAAAAGGTCATTGTCAGTGTATGGAGGCTAGATTAAGAAAAATGGTGTAGATCTTGGCAATGACTCAGTTATCCTATTGACATCATTCAACAACAAAACATTTGCCTATTATATGCTGAAGATATGTAAAACTCTATCTCTGCCCGTGAGGTGTTAATGCTCTAGTGGAGATACAAACACAAATACAAATAATTAGTAGATCATTTATAAGTGTTATAGCTGAGGCAAAATGAAAATGCAGAGGGAGAAACCAACTATGACTTTTGGTTGAAATCAGGAAAAACTCTGAAGTAGAGGCAACATTTGAATTGGATCTTTGAAGATGAGCAGGGGTTGGGCTGCTGGATTCGGGTCTAGAAGGGGGGAAGATCACCCCGGTAGGAGGAACAGCATGTGCAAAGGCACAGAACTTTGAAAGGATGGTTCCTTGAAATCTTATGGAATTGGTGGTTATTCTGGTATGTCCAGACCAAGGGATAATAGAGATCATTTTGTTCATTATACTTAACCTAAAAATCATGACATAGCTCTCCCATAATGATGTGGAGATAATATGAATAACTCATATTTTGTGAAATAGAGCTTAAGATTATGAAAGATGCCATCTTAGAGAAACTTGCTTCTAGGATAGTAAGATAAGCAGGACATTTTAGGAAAGGCATTAGGCATTAGGGGCTGTAGCTTGAAAAGCACATGACTTTATTTGATAAGAAAGGGAAGATCTATGCAAAAGCCTTTGGCTGCTGGACATCTAGGGGAAACATCATGGATAGTATTAATATTGGTCTGGGAGAAAGGAGATTGATGTTTAACCTTGGGGGCCCCAGTTTCCTCATTTGTAAAATAAAGGTTTTGGACTAGGTGATCTTAAAGGTCTCAAAATTTAAAAATTTATCATATTGGCAATAGCTATCTCACTACTAGATTATGTTTTGATAGCTTGCCTGCTCCCTACTGAAAAATACTCTGTGACTAAAATGTGACAGTAGGTCAGGTGGTTAGGTACTAGCAACTAGCCCTAGATGGATAGAAATACTATTAAATTTCTACTTCAATTCTATGCCTTCATTGTTCCTTCTCATCTTTTCTATGTTCCAGAGTATTCTGGGTCTCTACCCAGAATGTTTCTCCTCCTATGAAAGTCTCATAGCTTGTCACTTTGCCAATTACATGTCTCTGTTTTGTCTTAATCAGGGTGAACATAAAGCATTAAAGTAATTTTTAACCAAGTTGGTTTGGCTGAAGTTTCTCATCCTATTAAAGAATGGTCGGTATTTAGATTAAATGATACAAGACTGCTATCCTTACTATCATAATTGTGATTTGGCATATTTGATATAGTATTAGATTCCAGTTGAGCAGATGGTACCAGGATTTAAACTTATGCTTATCAGACACAGATGGTCCCAACAGTGAACTTTTCTCTTGGTTATTTGTATTTATAGCAGGTTAAACATAAATGACTTTACATCATTTTTATTTTGTGACTTTTGTCTTTTTAGTGATTACAAATGGTTTCTCTTAGTCTTCATCTTTAACTTTACTTTTTAATTAATACATATTTATCTTCAATGTTGACCCAGATTGTCTCCATTAAACCTGTTCTAGCTGTTTTCCAGTTTTTCTGGAACAGGGGGGAAAAAAGTCCACACTGTTAATTAGTCTGGAAGAAAAAGCTCTATGGCGGTTAAGAGTTCATGATCATGTACCCGTTACCCCCTCCGCCCCCCCAGTGAAGGTTGTCAGGAGCACAGTAGAACTTAGCACCCAGTCTCTGAAAGGACCCAGGCTCGCTCTAGAGACAAGACAACAAAACTGTGTTAGAGAAACTGAGGGATTTATCTGAGGTCACATAAATGTGGAAGAGTCAAGGCCAGATCTATTTCAAATTCCTGTTTGGTGCTCTTTTGAGACACCTCACAGCCTCCTGGAACCACTCCAATTGCTTAGTATCAGATACTGTTACTAACGACTGGCATTTTTCCACATGGGGAAATTGATGCCATCACTATGGAGAACAAACTCTCTGCCAACTTTCTGAAAAATCAAGAGTTTGCAAATGTTTTATAGTTCTGATTTTGAAGGCGGTTCTTGTACAATCAGATGGCTATGGATTGAAAGAAGAAGATGATGAGATGAAGGAGGTGGGAGCAATAATGTCGATATAAAATACAGGATAAGAAGAGAAGTAGGGATGCTACAGCTAAAGAAAGACTCAGGAGAGCAGATAGTTCACATACATTTTTATTGTCTTCTTGAAGATTTTCTTCAATGGCAAAAGACTTCTCAATCACATGTGGGAGAATTGATTTCAGTATTTCACCACCCTGAGAATCAGTGAGCTCCTCTTACTATTATTTAGGAGTATTAGTTCCCTTTAGTTTGGTAACTTGAAGTTAAAGGTTATCACTTCTATTCTTTGGAGGAGGTGAGAGTTGTCCTAGGGAGTGTGACAGTCAGGATTGAGAGTTGTTGGGACAAAGGGCTTTATCTGGAGAGTGTGATTCATCTCTGAAAGGACCCAGAGTGATAGGCTTTATTTCTTTCCCAGGAGTGTAGTGTATTAATTTCCCAATAGCCATGTTCTCTTTTGGGGAGAATCGAGTTATAAAATGCTAACATTTGGAAAAGGGATGATGAAATTTGAATTCATCCAGGACAATTAACTTGAGCTCTTTTGGCATATCTATCAGCATCATTTTTTGAGTTGTCCCCATTTATCTGTTTCCCAAGTGCTTATTGAGTGCCTTCTTGGGACTCAACTAGGGCAAGACAGATACTTGCCTACATGGAGCTTATAGTCCAGGGGATGATTCAGACCAGTAGGTAGATGATTAACATCCTTCTTGATAAGCACAACACTATGATAGGAGCAAGCATGTGGGGCTGAGGGAGCATGCAGGACAGGGGTGGCCTATGAGAAACACTCAATAAATGCTTGTTGAAAAAGACAAGAGTCCTAAATTGCAATTTACTAAGTGTGTGAATTTTGGCAAGTCTGGGCCTCAGTTGTCTTATCTGCAAGCTGGGGATAATAATACTTCCAGATGGCCTCTCAGAGTTTTTATGAGAATCAATTAAAACAATACACTTACGAGCACTTAAGAAATCATAATGCGATATAAGGGAATTGTTAAAAGAAATGATGTGCTCTTCCTGGTGTTATGTGTGGTCATGGCATCTAATGTGAAAGTTATTAAGACTTTGGGCTTTCAGCCAAAGAAATGTGTCTATGGAAGTCCCAGAGAGACTATTGTAAAGTGTCTTTTTATAAGACAAAAACACATGACATAAATCCCAGAAGTGAAGAATTTGGTTTGCATTTGGAGTGAAGACAATTTTGAAAGGCTCTTATTTCTTTTCTAAATGGATTTTAAGGATATGTATACATCTTCTGGTCCTGTTTTGAGAGGCCTCTAAAGTTCCATGATTAAATTCATGGAGTCATCAGATTCCCCTAGAAAAATTTAAAATATCATAATCATAGACCACGTTGCTTTCTTGGATGCCTACTATGTGTTCAGCATTGATACCAAGGAAAAGATAAGAAGAAACAAGGTGGTGTTTACCATCGTGTCTTATAGTCTAATTGATGGCACATGACTGTCACACATAAAATGATAGTGAATGATAACTACAAAATACATACATTATATGCAAATTTGGGGAGTAAAGGTTTAAAAAAGGGATTGAGATTCCATTGGCACTTGGAGGATGGATAACATTTGGAAAAGGATGAATGAAATGGAATTATTAATGTTTCCAAGTAAAAGGAAAGCATAAACTTTGGAAACTGATGGAGTAAATAATGCCAGTTTCTGTGATAATATTAATGGCTCCCATTTATTAAGGGCTTTCTAGATGCTAGACATGTACTAAGATTAGCTTTACATGTATTACTTCATTTAATCCTCAGAACAATCCTATGAAGTTGGTACTATTTGAATCCCCTAATTTACATATGAAAAATTGAGTTAAAGAGGGATTAAATAATGTGTCATTAGACACATAGCTAAAAATTGGTAACATCGGGTTTTAAACTGAGATATATCTGATCCTAAAGTCCAGGCTATTAACTACCATATTATGTAACTTTTGAACTGTGTATATCAGAAGGATTTCAAATGAATAACTCTTCATCTACTGAGGAATTAGTCAGCATTTTTGAAACTTCCCAAGTATCTGTTTTAAATTATAGCCTCCTTCCTCATAATATGTTGTTCTCTGTATTTTTAACAGTTAAATTATATATATATTTCCTCTCTCCCCCCCACCCCCGACAGGATGGGAGAGGGATAGAGAGTTAGAAACATCGATGAGAGAGAAACATCAATCAGCTGCCTCCTGCACACCTCCTACTGGGGATGTGCCTGCAACCAAGGTACATGCCCTTAGCCAGAATTGAACCTGGGACCTTTCAGTCCACAGGACGATGCTCTATCCACTGAGCCAAACCGGTTAGGGCAACAGTTAAATTTTTTAACTTTGAGATAATTCTAATACAAGAGTTGAAAAAATAGTACAGAGACCCACATACCCTTTATGCAGCCTCTCCACATTAGCATTTTACATAACCATAGGACATTTACTGAAACTAAGATGTTAACCTTAGTATAATACTGTTAGCTAAAGTACAGGATTTACTTGGATCACACCAGTTTTTTCACTAAGATCCTTTTCCTGTTAAACGACCTAATTCAGGATTCTATATTGCACTTAATAGTCACATCTTTGAATTATCCTCTGGTCTCTGACAGTGCTGAAGTCTTCCCTTGTCTTCCAGGACCTTGACACTTCTGAAGAGTATTGGCCAGTTATTTTGATGAATGCTTCTCAATTTGATATTTGATATCTGATGTTTTTTAATGATTAGATAGAGATTTTGCATTACTGAGAAGGGTACCAGAGTGGTGATGTGTCCTTGTCAGTGCTTCATATCAAGGGGTTCTTGATGATAATGCATCCTTGACAATGTCCCTCAGGGCTGCTAGATTGTTTAGGCTAGTGAGGAGATGAAAGAAGAAATTTATCTTTAAAGAGTACAAGAGTGCTGGGAGCCGGTCCATCCTTGCTGTTTCAAGGGACCTGGCATATATGGCATACTGTTCTTAATATGTTTGCTCACCTTCTTGGAACTATATGTTTTAACCAAGGTCACCTATATGTTTTAACCAAGGTCAACTATATGTTTTAACCAAGGTCACCTCTCTGAGAAAGGTTGTTTCCCCAGGTAGGGATTTTCCCCTGAAGTTAGGGAGGGAATAAAACCCCTTAACTAAGTGCCAGGCGGGTAATTAATCACTTTAACTATGAACAATCATGCTTAAGCTACATAATCTTTACTCCTTGGAATGGAGATAAGAAACACCCTAACCTTTGGAATAGAGATTGATAGGATTGGAATCAACTGGTATAAATACAGATATAACAAGACAACAGAGACAGAACCTAGACACAGAACCTAGAGACACACAGAACCTAGACACAGAACCTACCCAGAACCTAGAGACAGAAGAACTTCGCTGGAGAGAACATGGCAAAAGATCCTGGACCCAACCTGACTACAGAAATTGGCAAGAGAACCTGACTAGAACCTGGTGACTGAACCTGGATAGAACATGGCAAGAGAACCTGACTAGACCCTGGTGACTGAACCTGGCTGGAGAACCTGGACAGAACCTGGCTGGAGAACCTAGCGAGGGAACATGGCTATAGAACCTGGCTGGAGAACCTAGCAAGAGAACATGGACACAGAACCTGGCTGGAGATCCTAACCAGAACTTCGCTGGAGATCCTGACCAGAACTTGGCTAGAGATCCTGGCTAGGCTGCTGATCAACTGAACGCTGTCTCCGTGTCATTCCTTCTTCACCAACTCTGTCCACACCTTTGGGGACCCCTGGACCTGCTGGGGTTGGACCCCAGCACAAGAGTTGGGTTGGGATACAGAGGTTGGAAGTGGCAGGTGATGAGCTCTACTCCCTGTATCTCATCCTCCCCACTTCCCAGCTACTACAGTGTCAACAGGACAGATTCTTCTGTCAAGTCATCTATGGTACCTGAGCGCCCCTTCCTAACTCTGAAATCACTCTGAAGGATCTAAGCTTTTATTTGAACCTAATTTTCTGCTTCCACAGCCTGGGGATAGTGATAGTAGAAAGACAGGCACTAAATGAGTAGACAGCATTCCAAATAATGTGATTCCTTTCTGACCTTACTCATGCTCTCAAAACACTTTTAAGAAGCATTAAAAGTCAGGGTTGAAAACCCGACATACAAGTTTTATTATGGTTGAGGTGGAAAGTTTATATTGAAGGCTCTCATTATGTCTGGGCATAATAGGATATTACAATAGAATCACTCTTCTGAAAAGAGCCTTTGAATTTTACACATAATGGAAATGGAAAATTATGATCACATCAATCAGTTAAAGGGACAGTATTAATCCCTACCTTAATCACTGATTTTGGTGGCTATTTTATTTTATTTGGAAGCAAATAAGGTTTGTGTGTGAATAAAAATGAAAAAGGATTGTTGAGGATAAAGACTTTATTGCTAGTGCTTCCCTTTGAACACAGTGATTTTCTGGTTACCTGATCTGAAATGAATCGTAAGTCCGTGGCATATGAGAGTGCAGGACAATAATTCAAGGTGCCATATTTTGCCTACAAAGCATAAATATTTTGAACATTTGCATTACTGTTTTTGAATGAGTGGTTTAAGTAGCTGTGAAAGATTAACTATGTTCTTTTGGGTATGATTGAAATACTACATTCAATCTTTGTCCCCCAGGGACAAAAACCCACAAATCCCCATGTTCTATGAAATGTTAAAAAATTCTCATGCCAGTATCTTGCTTCATTTAACTGGTGCCAGGTCTGTGATGTGACATGGCAACCATGTTGCAGTTCAGAACTTAAGATTTCCATTCTGTTCTTGGGAAGTAGGAAGAAAAGGATGTTGCGGAGAAAATCCCATCCTCTCTTATAATGAAATAGGTTGTTATGTTGGCTACAGTTTTGCCTCCATCGATAAGTGCATTTTATCTTGTAGACCTTATAAATTCTGACGTATGTCATGTGGGAAACAGTAGGTCATACCGTGCCCATTTTATGTATGAAAAGGAGGCTCAGGTACCAGTTAACTTCCCGGTGCTTACTCTGCTTTTA